CCCCGGACGGGTATTTACCCTGCGAGCAGAGGAATTTTCCACCCCCTTCTACGAAGACCCCCCCAAATACCTCTGCCACGGGACGGTTAATTTCCTGTTGAGCATGCDCATRGAACGCCCCCCCGATTGGATGTTATCTATGACATTGATTGACGCTCTGTCAAAATCGCGTCTATCCCCCCCCGTGTTTTTTGTTCGCGGAAAACTATCGCAGCTATAGTACTATTAAACGATGGTGTGTTTGACCTAATTTTTTCATTAGAAAATAGAAAATATCCTTTGAAAAATCCTCTGTTTATAGATAAATAGATAAGTTCCCGATTATGCTAAGTTTGTTATTTATAAAATTAATATCCGAATATGACCTTTTGACACGCACCATTTCATCAAGACGGATCAATTTGATGTTGTAAGTAAGGCAACAATATTTGACAAACATTCATTCCCTGTTGCAGCTTAATCAAATTTTCAGTTAAAATTTTTAGAGCTTTGAAATACGGATTCTGTAATAAAAAACATTCGGTCACAAGAATGCTGTGAATCATCTGTCAAGAAGAACGCTGTGATTGGGTTAGTCACGTGGAGTGATCACATGGTTTACCTCCAAGATTATGGAGGCGGCAACATCACAAGAACTAACCGTCCTGTGGCAGAGGTGTTTTTCCTTTCGTAGATAGGGGAAAAATTCCTCTGCTCGCAGGGTAACGGGTATTCTATCCCCCCCCCATGTAACTATTATGTAAATTGATGTTTGGCCAATTCCATTCATTATTATCTCCCCCCCACACGTAACCAATAAGGTCATTTGTTCATTTGTCCCTTTTCCATATTTCAGTACCCCCCCTCGCAGCCTCCCCTTTTATCGGGCTGGACAGGAAGCCAGACATAAGGAGAGGCTGCGGAGGAGACTGCGGAGGAGACTAATATTTCATCCTATGACATAGGACAAATAAGCAACCCCCCCAAATTTCATCCCAGGACTCGAACTCAGAACTTTCACTTCAGGAGAAGATGTAACCCCC